GTTGTGCATACGAAAAAGGAATGGAGGAGGAGGCGGAGGAGGAAAAAGGAGGAGGCAGAGGAGGAGGAGGAAGGAGGAGGAGGAGAAGGAATGGAGGAGAAGAAATGGATGGAGATGAGAGAAGGAGGAGGAGAAGGAATGGAGGAAGAGGAGGAGGAGAAGGAATGGAGGAGGCAGAGGAGGCGGAGGAGGGAGGACGGAGAGGGCGACGAGGAGGCACCACCAGACCAACACGAGTATGAGGACGAGGAAGAGGAGGACGAGGGGGACAGGGAGGAGGAAGAGGAGGGGGGGCGAGGAGGAGAAGGAGGAGGAGGAGGGGGAAGAGGAGGAGGAGGAGGAGGAAGAGGATGGGGACGAGGGCAGACGAGGAGGACCAATGTAATCCAAGACCCATCAACGATGCTGGAAAGAACCCTTCCTCCGGGGTGCTGAAACCAGCGCCCCGCCTGGGACATCCTCACAATCTGCTCTCTAAGCGAAAGATGTTGAGACAGAAACCAAGCAAGCCGCTTGAGACATCCCCACACAACGGCCGCGAACGGGACCGTGTCATACCCCTCGGCGGCTCCCCTTAGGTGTGCTGAAACCAGCGCACCGCCTGAGACATCCTCACAATATGCTTTCCAAGCGAAGGATGTTGGGACAGAAAACATGCAAACCGCTTGAGACATCCCCACAACACGGCCGCGGACGGGACCGTGTCATACCCCTTGGCGGCTCCCCTTAGGTGTGCTGAAACCAACGCCCCGCCTGAGACATCCTCACAATCTGCTGTGTGTTGAGTAAGTCAGACAATCAGAAGGTTTGAGTATGAATAAGTCTGGGTATGAGTGAGTCTCAGCATGAGTAAGTCTGAGTAGGAGTAGGTCTGAATATGAGTAGGTCTGAGTATGAGTACGGTAACATGATCAGGTCTGAGTATGAGTAAGTCTGTGTATGAGTAAGTCTGTGTCTGAGTAAGTCTAGGTATGAGGAGGAGGAGGATAATAAGAGGACAGAGGAGTAGGAGGCGTCCAAGTAATATCACGAACCCCATCTTAGGATATGGGGAATAAAAACACCACGGGGAGCCCCCAGCCGAAGCTGGTGAGGTACACCTATACGGATGTCGGACCGCATACGGATATCGCACCAGAAGAAGCTCCGAGTGAACGAGTTGCAGGGAGTTTCGCTGATCGTCCAGAGGCACCTACCTGTACAATGTTGGTGACAGTGTCGCTGGTCGAACAATTGATCATCGTTTAATCGATTCGCATCCCCACTGGCATGGCATCGGCCCCACTGACCGATTAACCCCCCTAGACGGGGCTGCATGGTGTTCCATTCGGGTTTCGCAGGGCCGATCCCCACCTGGGAGGTGGGCTGTTGGGACTGACTACCATGGCCCAGTGGGGATGGGGATCGGTCAAACGATGTTGAACAAATATTGACGGCGAGCGAGGGGGGAAGTGAGAAGGAAAAGGCCTTCCCAGAAGGCAGCGTGACTTTTCAAAAGCCCTCGCGCCCTCCAAAGAGAGTACGGCAATAAACATAAGAAAAAACACACCGCACGGGTTCGGCACCTGGTCCAGAGCGATGCGGTCGTGGTGTGTGCGTGGTGAGCGTGGTGGCATCCCAATGGCTGCGCCCTGGGTGGGGATCCCCCCGAACCCGCACTGGAGAGGGAGAGGGAGACGGGGAGAGGGAGACAAACAATGAGATGCATAGACGGAGAGAGGGAGGGAATGATAAGGGGGAGAAGGAGAGTACCCATTTGCAGCCCATTAGCCTCATACGGTCCCCAAACAAGCAAATAAAACTGACCCGGCCACTACAAGTTACCGCATGGCACTCGAGATGTGAGGGCACATTTCCCACCACCACTACAATAGGGATGAGGCACAGCTTCGGGCCTCTACAATATGGATGAGAATGGGGAGGAGGAGGAGGAGGAGGCGGAGGAGGAGGAGGAGAAGCAGGCGGAGGAGGAGGAGGAGGAGGAGGAGGAGGAGGAGGAGGAGGAGGAGGAGGAGGAGGTGTGACGAAAGCAACATGCCACACGTGGAAGAAACGCGGCGGCCGACGGCGGCTGGAGCGCCGGAAGACTGCTCCTGAAGAAGGACGGCGCAAGCAACCACTCAAGAAAAAAACAGCACACGTTTATGGCGACGCTGGAATGTTTCCTCCTCCTCCCCCTCCCCCTCCCCCTCCCCCTCCCCCTCCCCTCCTCCTCCCCCTCCTCCTCCTCCTCCTCCTCCTCCTCCTCCTGCTCCTCCTCCTCGTCCTCCTCCTCCTCCTCCTCGTCGTCCTCCTCCTCCTCCCAGCCATTTCGCGTCCGAGCGGCCCCCCCCTGCACCGGGCCCCTTGGACGATGCGGCGCGCAAACTTCGAAGTGGCGCTGCGCGCCCGAGTCATGAAGAAGCAGCGCGGAACCCCACGTCATCAGCTACAACGCTGAGATCAAGCGAGCGCACAACTGCCAGGATGCCCGCCCCCCCCCCGCCCCCTCTTCCTGGCAGACCGGGGCGCCAGCCGATGCGGCGCCGCGGGCAGAGTGCGGGGACAACAGAGTCGTGATCAGCTACAGCGTAGGGATCAGGCCGTGTGAGAAGACCAGCAGTGGCAGGCAGAGCTGACGCTGCGAGAAAGCAAGCAGTGGCAGCCAGAGCTGGCGCTGCGACAGGGAGGAAGGCGCGGGTGGGCCACGATCAGCTACAACGCTGGGAGCAATCCGTGCGAGAAAGGGAGCGCGCAGTGGCAGCGGACGCTGGCGCTGTGCAAAATGCGCGAGTGGGCCACGATCAGCTGCAACGCTGGGAGTCGTCCATGCGAGAAGGAGGGCCTGCGAGAAGCGGGAGGCGAAGCTGGAACCCGAGTGTCTCTTCCAGCTAACGCCTCTGGGAACAACGCGGGTGAGAAAAACGAGCGATGTTCTGCCGCGGCCATCCTGCGAGAAGTGGGAGGCGAAGGCAGAGCCCGATGTCGACAGCTACCGCGTTGGGATCGGGGCAAGCCGCTGCGAAAAGAGGGAAGCGGAGCTGGAGCCCGAGTGTCTCTACTAGCTAACGCCTCTGGGAACAGCGCGTGCGAGAAAAGCGAGCAATGTTCTGCCGCGGCCATCCTGCGAGAAGTGGGAGGCGAAGGCAGAGCCCGACGTCGTCTGCTACAGCGTTGGGATCGGGGCAAGCCGCTGCGAGAAGAGGGAGGCGAAGCTGGAGCCCGAGTGTCTCTTCTAGCTAACGCCTCTGGGAACAGCGCGTGCGAGAAAAGCGAGCAATGTTCTGCCGCGACCATCCTGCGAGAAGTGGGAGGCGAAGGCAAAACCCGATGTCGACAGCTACAGCGTTGGGATCGGGGCAAGCCGCTGCGAGAAGAGGGAGGCGAAGCTGGAGCCCGAGTGTCTCTTCTAGCTAACGCCTCTGGGAACAGCGCGTGCGAGAAAAGCGAGCAATGTTCTGCCGCGGCCATCCTGCGAGAAGCGGGAGGCGAAGGCAGAGCCCGATGTCGACAGCTACAGCGTTGGGATCGGGGCAAGCCGCTGCGAGAAGAGGGAGGCACAGCTGGAGCCACACGTCGTATAGCTAACACCACTGGGAACAGTGTGTGCGAGAAGAGCGCCACCCTGCGAGAAGTGGGAGGCGAAGGCAGAGCTAACACCTCTGGGAACAGTGCGTGCGAGAAGAGCGCCATCCTGCGAGAAGTGGGAGGCGAAGGCAGAGCCCGACGTCGTCTGCTACAGCGTTGGGATCTGGGCAAGCCGCTGCGAGAAGAGGGAAGCAATGCTGGAGCCAAACGTCACCTTCCTAGCCACCGCCGTGCGCTGGGAGAAGCGGGAGGCAAAGTTGGAGCCCGACTCTATCTAGCTACGCTCGCTAGAAGCAGCGCGTGCGAGAAGTGCAGGGGCCAACAAACGGGCTCCGGCGCGAAATGGCCGGGCACGGACGAGCTACCCTCAGTTACAGTGCAGAGATCAGCCCGGTGTGCGAGAGCAGGAGTGGAGGAAATCCACTCGTGCGAAAAGGGGGAAGCAAGCAGGCAGTGGCAGCGGGGCTGCCCAAGCGTGCGTGCGAGAAGCAGGCAGTGGCAGCGTGCTGCCACGGCGTGTCTCAGTGTCCTGGGGGCGATCCTCGGAAGATCTCTGGGCGTTTGAATCGGTTGGGGGAAGGGCGACACCCGACCACCAACCGCGTTTTCTGATGCAACCCCATGTCGCCCAGGAGAGGCCTGGGGGATGGTGCCGTCTCATCGTCGTCGGTCGCGCTCTCTTGCTCATGGCACGGCTGATCAGGATAGCAGGATCCTCATAGCAGAATCCTCCTCCTCCCCATTTCGTTCGTGCCGAACCGAGGCGCGGGCGGCCTCCCGCGGCCCGGGCCGCGGGCGCAGGCCGCTGGCCTCGAAGATCTGCAGCCACACGACACACGCAAGCAGCGCACGCACACGGTGGCCAGGGGCCGCCCCCAAGCCAAGACACTTGGCAGAAGGTCACGGCCACTTGGAGCAAGCAGGTCAGATCAGCTCCAGTTCGCGACTCGCTTCGGGACGGCTGCAACGACCCTGACTGATCGCGCCTCTGCCACAGCTCATGCGTGCGCGCGTCCGAAGTGTTTGGTCGCAAGGAGTAAGACGTGGGATGCACGTGGCCGACTTGGGCACAACAATTGTTGTACGACCGACCGATATATTTATACCTTACCGACCTATACGCCTACTTGCCGAAAACCAATCAAGGAAAAATCCCAGGGCGGGGGTGGTGGTCAAAAATGGAGTTCCGAAACAAGCGGCGGGGAGAAGAGAAGCGCGCGGAACAGGAACATCATACGCTCAGAACACACGGGTCTGAACACGTCGTGACAGTACATGTCGCTCCGCGGCTGCCCCTATGCACGTCCTCCTCCTCGTCTGCCTCTCCCGCTCCACACCAGAAATGAACACAATCTGCGGGCACTTAGCAGAGAAGCATCCGCGCTCCCCCGCCCGCTTACCCAGAAACCACGCCCCTACCATCACGGAGCAAGCATTTTCCAGGGCTGTGGCTCGGCCTACGGAGGGTCGGGGTTGGGCTTTGAGGCAGGCGGAACGCGGAGTAGGGGGGCAGGGGGGACATGGGGAAAAGGTCGGGGCAGGGGGGCAAAAGAGGCATGGGGACAGTCGGAAGAAGTAAGTAGAACCACGAAGTTGGAATGCGGACACAGTAGATTGGGTTCGGGCCCGCCCCAAAAACAACAAACGAGAGCAAACCCATATCGATTCTTGAGGCAGGACGGCGCTTGAAGTAGATTGGGATCTGGAAGTCCAAAACTACCAACTTTCAACGACCCTCCTGTACAAGGTAGAGGCAAACGGGCGCGGGAAATGGTTGGGGCAGGGGCGGGCGTAAGGTCAGGGCAGGGTCAGGGCAGAGCAGAGCGGGGGATGGACACGGACGCAGGGAGGTGACAGACTGGGGACCAGGAGCGAGGGCAGGGTCAGGGCCGTGGTCGGAGGCCTCTTGAGGGGGTCGGAGTAGATGGAGCCGGAGGATCGCGCCGCAGCGCCAATGCATCGGCGATGTATGGCCGATACATCGCCGACGTCGGCGGTGGTGTATCGGCGACGCCAACGTGGAGAACATCGGGCTCCGCATCGAGCGGCATCGCCGATGCATCGGCGATGCGTCGCGATCCTCCGACCCCATCTACTCCGACCCCACCTTGGAGGCCTAGAGTGTTAGGGGTAGAGGGACAAGGGCACGAGCAAGGGCAAAGGCTGTGAGATCGACAACCCCAGAACGGAACTGAAAAAGACAGGTAAGCAATGGCAGGCACAACACGTCCGGCCGGGGCCCGGGCGGTTCGCCTGCAACTTGGTCACGTATTCGTCGAGCCTTACGTACTCCTGCCGCTTATCCTGCAAAACGTGCGCCACACACTATCGCGACGACAGCACAGACATGCGTGACAGAGGCGACCCAGGCAATTGACCGATGAAGACGTTTAGACTAAGGTTCCTTAACTACGCACTCGTGATCACGAAGACCACGACGATGATGTCGCTCATGGTAATTAACAGTGGTACTGCCGTCATGTTCATAGCATCATGGGGCCAGCGTGTTGACACTAGACATCTGATTATTGGAGCAATTCGCGTGATGCCATGGGGGTCAGGAGCAGGCCAAGCAAGCCATGAGAGACCAAGCAGCCATAGGATGCCAAGCCATAAGAGGCCAAGCGGTCAGAGGAGGGGCCATCACGGTCCACATGAGGCCAAGGACCCACGGCCGAGCCCCAGACACAAGGCCTGTGGGGCGGGAGGCAGAAGGAGGCCGAAGGAGGCCAATCACCTCCAGCTGACCCAAGAAGACCACGGGTCCACTGGAGCGAGAGGCCGTTGGAGATCATAGAAGGCTATTACCAGTCGGAGGCCATCATCAAAGCAACTCAGGCCATTGCGGTCCAAGCACCTACGGGGGACACTGGAAGACAATACTAGGGGGCGGATTGCCGTAGGGGGCAACAGGAGGCCGTAGCGGTCGAATCAGCCGAAGTCATGCCGGTCGAAACACCTACGGTAGACCTGGGAAGCCAGGGCCAGTGAGGCGGGAGGCCGTAACACGCCAAGGGGGGGCATAGCGATTTAATCAGCCAAGGCCAGTCTTGTCCAAACACCGCTGGCAGGCTCGAGAAAACCAAAGGGCCAATGGAGTGTGACGCAACAGGATGCCATAGCGGTCCAAGCAATCAAAACCATAACAGTCCAAGCACCTACGGCCGTCCCGGGAAGGCAGTGTCACTCCCTTAGGGGACAAGTTAGCTGCTTTTGATCAGTACCAAGGAACCCCTTGTATAGTCATACTACCGATGCTACTATTCGTACTCATTGAGACCACTGCTACTACCACTATTTCCTCTTCTACGGAGGCTGCCCTTTACCACAATTCCATATACAATCCCCCTTTATAAATATTACAACGCTTGTGATCATGACCTTGTGCGTCAGGACGTCGTGCTCCTGAAGCAACCGCTGTTGGCCCACGAAGCATTTACGAAGCCTCGGCACGACATGGACCTCACTATGGCTCGCGGTTGATATCAAGACTCAACCCACTGAGCTGCACCAGCCACGTCGCTCCCCCAAGAGGGTAATGGCTGGCGGGGGTCTAGCCCTGCACTCTGGGGCTATCGTCGCCCCTTCCCACATCACCGACTGGCGATCTGGGCCAGACTCGGCAGGCGAGTCACTCCACCAGGTGGGACGATCCCTATCAGCACCGAGGAATGTACTGAACACCTGAACGTCGACTTCGTGCTCAACAAATCAGCGCGACGCGCCGAACGTTGAGCTCTTCGATCGCTGTGAGGTCAGAAAATCACACCTTCAGTGGCACCTGTTTGCTCCCTCCCAACGCCCGACTCCTCTCCTGCTCGTCATCTTTCTCCTCCACATGCACCCTCGCCAACACCTTCTGGCGTACCAGCCAACCCTGGGGTCCTCCAGCCTCTCCGACAACTTCTCCAGTTGGTTGCTCAACTCCTTGGCCTCGGGCAGATGCGAACAAAGGCGCAACACATGAGGGCAAGGGGATGCAGGGCGAGCAGGTTCCCGAGGAGAAGCATGTGGAGCAGCGAACCAACGAGAACACACCAAAGCAACGATGAGGAGGATGAAGCAGGACTGGATGGCTCTGGGGCGCCTTGGCCACCTCAGTGAGCCCAACTCCCTGCCTGGTGTCACCACCCTGGAGGGCACGGTGGCCCGACAGAGCTAAATCCTCTGGTGTGCGGTGCGCAATGGTGAAGGGGTCCTGGGACACACAAATAAATGGACACACATAACAGGATTCCCCATATGTTCTCATATTTTCTGGGTTTTCGTCTTCCCCCCCACTTCCCATATTTTCCCATATTTTCCTCGGGATCGACGATTCATTGTGCCTGTGTGTTTCTTTCCCTCCTGGAATGGATTTATAAATCATCTGGTGTGCGGCGCGTCCTGGGTTACTAAATCCTCTCGTGCGCTTGCTCGGCGGTGCATCGTGGCACGACTGTCTGTAGCGCTGCCCCGAACCATCACCAGGTGTCACACATTCGAGGTGGTGAGCGCACAGGCAATGCCCAATCAGAACCCGCCCTCAAGGTCGGGGGGGCAGGATTTGTCCCCTCCAGTTGCGCCTCGCGCGGTCCGCACCAGAAGCCTCCAGGAGCCGATCAGTGAAGATCGGCATATTTGACGTCAGCCAGGAGAGAATACATCGCACCACGTGAAGAAATCGCATATCAATATGGAACATGGTTTTGGTTCAAAGAGGGGGGACATAAAAAGGACGAGTGAGGGGCCCAACATCAGGCAAGGGCAAGGGGGAGAAAAGGTTGTCACGGTTTCCGCTGGCTCCGTGCCAGAGATGCGTGTGCGTTTCAGCGGAGGTGGTCTCCGTCTGCTCCCTCGCACCATCGGCGAGGAGGGCGTCTGCCCTGGACTCGGAAGATACAAAGATCCGACCGTTTGTATCGTTTGTTTGTTTATTGTTTTCCCTCTTTTTTTATCTCTCTCTCTCTCTCTCTCCAAATTGGCTCCGTGGCAATCGGATGCGAACGCAAGCTGCTTTAACAACTTGAGCGCCAGTTTGGGCGCAAATTGCTCTTACAAATTTAACGCCGGCTGCGCCGAAACTGCTGGCCACCCGTAGAAAATTGTTTTGCTACCTCTGTGCGACGGAAAGACCCGTGCGCAAAACCAAGGGCCTGTAGAAAGAAACAGGGAATGCCATGTGCATATACCCCCCGAGGCCTAGACAGCCACTGGTACTCCCCACTGCCGCCACAGCTGCAGGCGGCGGCGGCGGCGGAGGGGGGGAGGGGGAGGAGCGGCGGGGGGGCAGGGCAAGAGCTGGCTTGCGGCGCCGATCCAACTAGCGATGCCTGGCTGGCGGACATCACGTTTCAAAATGGACCGCGAAACCTTTGTAGGCGCCAGCCTGGGGAACCGCAGAAGTGCTTGGACGGCGTACTTGGGATGCCGTCGCAACGCTTCCGACTCTTCCATCCAGGAGTGGACTTATGCCTGCGACGGCTGCACCAGGATGGGGGCACCCTTTCTGGCGCAACGGTCTGCCAGATCGTCGCCGACCGCTTGCCACCATTCCGGGGTCAATTGTGGAAGGTCGGATGGGCTTGCATGCGCCTTTTCCCTCGCGATCTGGGCTCCGGGGCTCCCCGGAAGGAGCCTCGAATCTGTATATGTAGTCCTGCATAGACGCGTTGTCTAGCCGTGACCTGGGACCCGAGCGCCTCCGCCAGATCGCGAGGCCGAGAACATCGGAATGGATTGTTGTCACGCGTGGGCAATGCTTCATAACTGCCAAAACGGCGATATGCTCGGCAGCAAGGGGAGTTAGGGGGTAGTCTGTACCCATGGCCCCCACAACGCAGCGAATAGCTCCCCTGACGGGGAGATCTTTGCAGTGGACCAACCGACCGCGTGGAAAATTACGGGGCCGCCCTTGTAACGTGACTCGCCCAGGAACACCTGCCCTGTGAAGGCCTCTTCGATCAAAAGCCCCTCTTGCGAACGCCAATGCTGGTAAGCGTTCGTGCCCGATCCTTCCGGCGGCGTTGTCGCGGCCTCAGTCCACTGTAGCTGGCCACGCAAAGAAGGAACATTCTTACGGGGGCTGGCGATTGACGACTTTCTGATTCAGTGAGCAGCTCGTCTCGGAGTTGGCGGGTGCATGGGCAGCGATGCAGCCCGTGCGACATGCGGACGGCTCGCCCCCCGCATACGCATCGGGGGCCCACCTCGTAGCGGGCCTGCCGAAGCTGGCGCGCCGTCCAGGAAGACTGGCATGACAATGCCAACAGCAAGTCGCACTCGCGTTGCGACACCTTGCGCTATGCGATGCGACGCCGTGCGATGCTGCAGTCAAGCTGCGCGTTAGACGGCAGGCTGGTCTTTTCGGGCAATCAGATATCATCGATGCGCTCGCTTGCGCCCAGTGCTCGTGAAGTCTCAGCTCCAAGACCTTTGGAGAGAACAACGCGAGAGGCCAGCGGTGGCCGACCAAGCCTCGGGGGATAACTGGAGCGCGGAAGCTCCGACCGATGCGGCTGAAGGAGAGGGCTGCGGCTCCAGAGCGTCCTCCTTCCCTGCGACCGGGTCGCTGTGGCGGCGAGGCCGGAATCAACCGGGCGAGCCGAATGAGACGAGGGAGGGGGCGAGGGTTGGCGAGAGTGGTCAGCGCTCGCTTTCCAGACAATTTTGGACCACTTGAGGGCTGGCGCTAGGTCTCTGGCGCCACGCGGGGACGGCAGGCGCGGCCAGGGAGGCAGAGCGGGAGCGGGGGCCCCCTCGGGCGCCCACAAATTCCTTTCATAATGACTGCGCGGCCGAGAGCTCCGCGGAGTCGACTCCCGGCGCAGCGTCCCCGAACATGCCAACTTGCTCAAGGCCTGTCGTGTACATCGTTCAAGTGTCTGCCCCCGCTCTGCGACTGGCGAGCAAGCGGCGGCGGCGATCCTTTAATTTGCCAATGTCTCTTGGAACGGGGTCTGGACCTACAAAGGAGACAATGGTCGAGCGAAGAGAGGTCGCACACGTGGCGCGCGCGAGACGACTTCCTGGCCGCGTGGGAGGCGTTCACTGTTCACTGAACGGCGGTGGTCTCAACAGGGCAAGAAAGAAGCACGAGAACGCGAACCGACGCCCAACACCCGACGCAAGAGCCAACACGAGACCGCACAAGGCATCCCGCACAAGACCTCGCACAAGGCCTCTGGGACCTCTCCTTCTCTTGAGAATGGTATGCTTCCGCAGATTGCCTGCCGCAAGATTGATGCCCGTAGTGTTCCCCCAATGTCCCGAGGTGCCCGCGTGCTGGCTGGCCTGGCGCCGCGGCCAATCCGGCACGAAGCCGCCGACTGAACAACGCAACTCGTGCGTGATAGCACTGGGCCAGGCATGTCCTCCCGCGGGCGGATTCTGCATGACAGATGGGAAGTAGCAAACAAAAACACAACAATGCTCAAACGCGGACCAAAAATCGCCACCAAACTATATTTGAACTTTTCTTGGATATTCCTCCTGTAGAGGGGCATGCCCGACCTAACTCATGCGCGATAACATCACGGATATCAGCAGCCGCCTTCAACATGAGACGAAGCACCTCCTCAACGGTGGGCCTCGCGATCCTGTAGAAGGAAGTCATCTGTGGAACGCGCGAGAGCCAGCTGCTCATTCCGAGCGGACGGGCCACTTTCCAAAGGCCCCGTGGTATAGGCCTGCACTTCGAAAGTGGCGATCCCGCAGCCCGCGGCTGCGCCGCGGGGCGGGTGGCCCACGTCGATGGCCAGCCTCTGAAAGGTAAGTATACGGCGGCCTTGGTACTCGTTGATCGTCACGGACAGCGTCTTCATTGGGAAGCGGCGCCTGCGTGCCCGCCCCCAATCTAAAGGCTGGTCTACACGTTCGCAATATTCGCCAGATCCTGTAGAAATGGCCACCGCGTAAGAGGGGCCCCGCCCTGAGCTTTGGCACGCTCGGGCCCCAATGCCCGCAAGCATGCGGTCTCCCCTGTGCGGCTGCCCCGTTGGCGGCCGATGCAAGGCGCGCGACGTTGCCCACCCCATTCTCGGACAATCGGCTATCGGCCTCTTGCCCGCAGCCTGCGCGGCGATGGGGTGGGTCCGATGGCTCTGAAGGCAGAGGCCGGAGGGGCCTTTCGGCGTGGCCTCTTGGGGCAGGGCCGGCTGCGTGGCGCGAGTGGCCGACGGGAATTGTCTGCGTTCTGTGGCCGCCAGACAAAAGAAGCTTAAAACCTCCAAGTGTGCGGATTCTGGAAAAGCGAAGTGCCTTGGGTGGCGGCCATCAAAAGCACGTGCGGCCATGGCGGGGAACTGAAGCGAGGGTCGTCAGCCTGGGGAGCTCGGGGCCTTGTTGCAGAAGGGTTGTATTTTGTGCTTTCCCTTCTAAGAGGGCGGGCGGTTTGGCCGTCCACTCTGAGGGCACTTTTGCGCGTGAAGGTTGCCGGGCGGGCGTGTCCTTGGTCCATCGATGCGCCAGGCCCACTGACGCAGCGTTAGCTTGGTGGACACAGTCACGCCAAGCCATGGCGCTATCTTCTTGCTCGTGCCAAAGCGACTTGGGCAGTTCACCTTCCAATGCCTCCGATATCGGGCTTCGCGGGGCTAGGGCCTGATTCGCCGGCGCGGGAAGGGCGCGGCCATCAGGCGCCGCCTTAAAGCGGACTTCGACGGCTTGATCCATTCGCGTTGAAACGAGCCTCGGCAGAGGGACAAATTCGATGGGTGGGTGGGTCAGAGCGGGAACTGCCTCCTCTAGAGGGGCGTGGGCCGCCATAGCCCTGCGGGCGATGTGTAGCGCTTGAACAGCCCATCGGGACGACTCGGACTGGGGCACCCACGAGGCTGGCGCCCAGATCTGATGCGGCGTCCAGATGACCTTTGAGCCGCGATGGCGTCAGGACCGGTCGGGGAAGACCCTGGCGACCATGCCCAGTACTTGCGAGAATGCATGATTAGATGGCC